AAAGAAGTTTAATCAGTACTTCCACTTTTACCAGAGTATTTTTTAACACAAGTATCTGTACTTTTACTCAAGTACGGAAAGTGAGTACTCTTGCCATCTCTGCCCTTTAGTCATGTACAAAAAAAAAACTATTTAATTACATTTTGGTGTTTCTTTTTTGTACATGACTAAATAGATACACACCAGTTGAAGTTAAAGTTTATTTTTCATACAAAACTAAAGGGATAAATGTAAATCTGACTTCTTGCGCATGTGTATTGACTATAGGTATGCTGATCTGACAACTCCGCCAAAAAGTCCTCAAAGAGCATTTTTATTTAATCCAGAACTTGTGACAAACCAACTGTAGGGAGCTGCCTTTTATCCCCTGTTTACTTAATGGAAACAGCGTCAAGCATTTAGAGCGGTGAAGATTAAAACCTTTCGTTTTTACTAAAGTCATAAACCATATCAGCCATGCCTTTTAATTCAAACATAAAGCGAATGCCACAATATTTGTGTTAATTTTTTTTTTAATCTTATTTGCATCTTTGGTACTTCTTTTATTTAGATGAATGTTAAATATAAAAGATTTTTTTTTATCTTCCAGGGATTTGAATACTTTTGGGTTTAATTGTGGCAAGAAGGGTGTAATCTGTGTTTGAGTCCTGGTTTTAGGAGGAAACACTCCTTCTTGTGCCTTGATTCACAATTAGGTATCAAAATAGGACTAAAGAAACATACTTTGGATTAGATTATTGATTACCTCCTAGCTTTTATTATTCTACATAATTAAATACCACATATTTAGTGTAACCTTCCAGTACTGCTGTTTACCTGTAGGGGGCAGCTCATACTCCACCTCTAACAGGACCCTTTCTCCTACATTCTTTAATAAACTAATGATTTCTTCATGCCTCAGCTTTGTCAGATTGATGCCGTTCACAGACTTGATGTAATCCCCGACATTAAGCTGGTCACTCCTGTAGAAAGAAAAAAAACACATGCATCAAACCATGTACCGACAAATGTTGATCCTTGATGTTAAAATCCACTCTGTTAATCAGCGGCTTAAACTGAATTACTTGCATCAAAACATTCAGCTGATCTTTAGGCTTTCTCTTAAACTGCCATTGCTTGGTTTTGAAGTTAATCTGCTCAGCTTGAACTGCATCTTCCGATGCTTTGAGTTATTGACTGTGTGAAGTTCTGGAGAACCTGAGACTCTTGCAAGAGAAAGTTCTAATTCATTTTACGTCCTTAGATGGAAAGAAAAGCTCT